AAGATTTTATTTATTTATTTGACAGAGAAAGACACAGCGAGAGAGGGAACACAAGCAGGGGGAGGGGGAGAGGGAGAAGCAGGCTCCCCGCAGAGCAGGGAGCCCCATGTGGGACTTGATCCCAGGACCCTGGGATCATGACCTGAGCCGAAGGCAGTTGCTTAACCGACTGAGCCACCCAGGCGCCCTCTCTCTGACAAAATCTTAAAAAATCTGAATGGAAATAAGAAAATGACAAAAAGGATGAGGGTAGATGGGAGTAAGTCTAACAAAGAAGAGGGGCGTGCCTGCCTGCTCAGTTGGTAGAGTACGTGACTCTTGGGGTCGTGAGTTTGAGGGGTAGAGTTTACTTAATAAAAAAGAAGGAAGAAGAAATGATGTGGACAAGATTAGGAGGGCTGTCTGAAGGAGCACCACAGACCCCTGGTTTTGTGAGACATGAGCAGCAAAAAATTTAAAAAAGACTACTGATGGATAAGGGGATTCACTATTTCCTGTTAGGTTTTAGTACCAGGTTCCCAAAGATTTGACCCCAAAGTGAAGCAAGTTCAATGAAAAAACTGGCATGTAATATCAGCATATATTTACTTGTGAGTCTTTTCAAGCACAGCTTTGAGGTTTGATAAGAATCTCAATCTGTATAACATCCCTGCGATATGAGCCAAGCTGTATGATTCTTCTCAGTTGTGCAAAGGTAAAAACATCAGTCAGGGACAGTGCTTTGGTCTCCCGATTACCATCCCAGTATCATGAACTGTCTGTGAAAGGTGGCTTGGTTGTGGAAAAGTACAAAAACTAGCTGTAAAAGTAAAATGCAAACTTGTTTGGTTAAATCCAGCTCCAATGAAATCAGGAAAATCCACTTGTTTACTGAGTCAAATCACCTTTTATGGAAACAAATTTGAATACACCAAGGTTTTATGGTGGGTTTTGTAGGTCTGGAGAGAAAGTCTCCCCTTTTCCTTTTATATTTTCCTCATCCTCTTCTTGCAGCGCTGGTTGAAAACAGGGGAGGATCCCATGAGGCTATCCGTGGAGTGGGAACCATAGCTGCTGTCTGAGTCATCAGGGCTCTGGGGGATCCCAGCTTCACTCATCCCGGACATGGGCTCCTCGAAGACATCGCTGCCCAGCACGCCATGCCCAGAGACGTTGCCTTCTTCGCTCTCCTGAGGCTCCATTTTCACATGGGCCAGATTCCAAAGAGGGGAAGCATTTACCTCCGTGCCTAGCAATGGAAGAGAATACAATTAGTGGTAAGCTAAGGCTGGAACACAGCAGAACAAATATTTTACCCGGGGCAGATTCCTAGCCTTGGAGCTCAGACTTACACTTTGACTCTACTTGGCTGGAGAATATGGTGGTTATTCTCTGTTCCAAAAACTACCAACTCTGAATATTTTCCATTCCACTTCCTCCCCCCTCCTTTACCCCACCTCACCCACCTGCCATTTCTCTTAAACCAGGGAAGTAGAACTACGTAGGTGGGAAGATTCTCTGTCTCATGGCCCAAAGGCAGGCATAACCACAGGCTCTTGTTCAGGGGTTAAGTTTCTTCCTTCCTTCCTTCCTTCTATAAGGCTGTCCTGTTTTCTTGCCTTTTGTTTGGGTCCATGGTCCTCTCTCACGTTAATGAAGTTCATGATCACTACAAAACACTGGCAGCAGTTCCCAGACTGCTGAAAACAGACCTGGCTCCTAAATCTGCAACAATTTCTCTTTGGCCCTCCTGTCTCTGTTCTGGCAGTGCTATTCTGTGGTTATTACTTCTTCCATGGTGAAAGGCTCTCTGCTCAACACTTTAAAAAATGTGGCCTAATTCTGTTTAGGATTTGTTACTTGTATCATTTGTGCATTGATGAAATGACAATTTATATTGGAGTAGAACTGAGTATCTAGACTAATTTGCAGTCTAACTGACTTAAGGATCGAGTCAGCCTGGTTCCTAAGGTGATCACAGAGTCTGGAAGAAGAGGCCAGCTGCCTCTGACT